TCTATGCAAAGTTTGTGAAGTTTTATGCAGTGATGACATTAAATGTTACATGTAACCAACAAAATTAGCTCTTAAATATGTCAAATGTTAATTCATTGACACTCTGACTAAATAATACAAATAACATGGCTAATGATAGTTACAATATCCCAATTTTGTTTTCTTATGAATAGCTTCTTAAACATTTGTAGGCCACAAAAAATGAACTTGCTGAATGAAATGGTGGCAACTAAAATAACTGAATTTATCTCTGGCTTTTTCACTTTATAGTCAAATGTTCAGATATTCTCCTTATATCAAGAATACAATAGGATAGTTCAGAGTTACATTATAACATTCAGAATGGGCAGTTGTCATCAAAGAGTCCCTTTTTTACACTTGATTCAAGACATAGATGCCTAGATCTAAATCTTTGCTAGTATAGACCAACCACAAGATTAAGGCAATCACTATTTGATCAAATGGTCTTATTATACAAAAGTTAAAGAGTGAAGAAGAATAAAAAAACACAATTTAACAAAAAGGGCCAAAATTGAAATAAAATTGGGTTTGAACTCAAATGAAATTTTGGTTTCAAAGTCAAGCTAACTTCATACAATGTATTGGAAGTCTGACATACCAAATAAAACCCCTCTTCAATCAGATAATATCATTGCTTTCAAAGAATAAACATTAAATCTATAACACAAAATATTTAGCAGCAGCCAACCATAAACAATAATTTCCAAGAAAAATAACAAACATATCATAACGGTTAAATATTTAAAAGTATTCTTATATAAAATGAAGTTAGTTAGGTTTAAACTTGCTTAGATAAATCTACAGAGGGCTGCCTTAAATAATATCATTTGAAATTAATTCTCTTGTCTTCCCTATTCATATAATTTGTTCATGACAAATTTGAACAGGAAAAAAAGATGATGTTACAATACAAGTTTAGACAATTCAACACTGATATGTAATTCAAATACCGTACTACTTTACACAACTTGGCTTAGTGAACTAGCCTATTAAATGAATTTTCTTGACTTATTTTTCCCTGTTCTGACACAGAAAAGCTTATCAAGATATAAAATTATAGAAATACTGGAAATGACAGTCAAAAAAAAAAGGGTCTACTATTTTCAAGCTCATAAAATTTTTTATGTAGGGACTAGCCTACTGTCAAAACTTTCTGAGTCCTTCAATTTGGCATTGGCTTCATCAAAACCTGACTTTTCAAGCAAGCTCACAACATTCTTGCTCCTATCTTGTCAAAAAAAACACACCACTGTCATTGTTCAAACAAAATTATTTAGACCTATACCTATGTCAGAAAACAGAAAACTTAAACTAGACAGAAGAATTCAGAAATATGATTTAGTTTGAAGGCCAACAAAATCTTAAACATAACAATCCGAACAGAGTTACGCCCCTTACCTGCATGTTGACACAAAATCTCAAGAATGTTTTACGATAAAATCACACTTTTATGACAGAAACACAACTCCGAAAATTCAATTTCACGTAAATAATCTAACAATAAACCACAATATTCCATATTTTACCTGAAGAAACATGTTTGCTTCTTGAAATTTGGCATCTAAAGCCATTAAACTGTCTGCTACGGCTAATGTTGTATCACTCATGATGCGCGGTAGATGGCCAAGTTGGTTGAACTCAACATCAACGCCGTGTTTCAACAAATATTAAAATCCCTTTACTATACAAACACTATGATCATTAAATAATCCTAAACACGAAGAGTGGATTGTCACTTTCTTCCCCGTATCGAAGACAGACACATACTGACACAATACGCTGTCACTTTTGCATAAAACCCAAGAAAATTGTTCCCTACCTGCATTATCTTTTCGCTTCACACCGTGGTTGGGTCAAAAGGCAAAGAGGATAATGGGTGTATTTGATTGGTCTAGTAGGCCGAGCCTCCACAGCATCAACCAATCAATATCCAGTAATTATATACCGACCTTCACCTTGCTCTCATATACTCTTTAATGGAATCGTTTTCTTTACTAGAAAATCCCATTTTACATCATTTTATCACAGTTAGCAGACGCTAAACGATAATTAGTATCCAGAGTAAAAATTACACTTACAAGATCCAGTTCTATGGATAAACCTTCATTCTCCATTCAGCTTTTGTATCAGTGGAAATTTCTCAGATTTGATTTTCAACAACGTGTGTAGATTGCGTCAGAGCCACGAGGAAATGGGGTCATTCTAAAAATACAGAAGAATTCTAATAGAAAACCGGGTCAGAATTGACGCGTTGGTTCTTCTAGCCTGTTCGCTAACAGAACACACTATGAGAATAGTTACAGCACAGTTTTACGTCAGAATAGGAATTCCATCGATTCTCCAAGAACTGGGCCAAGAGTTAAAAATAGTTTCCCAAACTTCACACGTCAATGGCATTTTGTCTACGTACTTTACACAGAACTTCAGGTATCCTTTAATGTTCATGAATTAACTACAGCCAATACGATCGTAGCATCGGTTCCTTTTCAACGTGAACTTGATACTGTAAGGATTGAGGCTTCCATTGGATGGATTGGTGTCCAGTGAGGTCCGACTGACCTCAACTGACCACAGAGTTGAAGAAAGCACGTGCATAAGACATGCAGTATGAAAGATTTAGCTTACCTGTTACAAAAATAGTTCAGAGTCCAAAGTAGGCTAAGCATAGAGGGTATCCCAAAATGTTCACATCCAAGCAGAAGCTAGCTGATCCGAATTGTGCGTCATCCAATCCACCGAAATATCGAGTTGTAAATTCCGTTGGTATACTTTGCTTTCAACTACACTGCCCTCCAGAGAGTACTTCCAAAATCCCCAAATTTGCTACCCTTTCCCGTATCCAGACCCAAAAAATAAAAGACCCACCTTTAAGCATCGAGATATAATTTTGGTTCTTGGAGGTTCTATAGAAGCTGAGAGCAAAGTAAACCAATCCGAAAAATCCAGAGAATTCTTAACGTTATCAAAGCACCACTTTAATGCGTATAGAACACATAAAGCATAGAACACAATAGGCATAGACTTCTAAAGGCATAACCCTAATGTGCCGGTACGCTATTCATTCAAACATAACTAAACGATATATAAACTACAATACACTGATAACTTCTTAATCAAACACGTCTTGGATAAGAAAAGATTTGAACTGGTTTGAGTAAAGGATATTTATTAGTTTAAAATGATAGTGAACCCACAAGTGACTTAGATTGCGTCAGCTAGGATCTGTCCATGTTCAAGTAAATTAATGTTTCGTAAGGTAACCTAGTTTTATGAATGGAATAGTACTGGGATGTTTTATACCGCCTGGTAGTAATGCATGGTGAACTCAGCTGATGTAATTTCAAATGAGAATGTCTATTACGTCAATAATCATGTCGATTGGTTTCTTCCCACTTGTGTCGGCCATTCACATTGATTTTTATCAGCAGCATCATTCCAAAACCACTAAAGGACTGGTGTGGGTATCAAGAACGAATGAAGTAATTAATGAAGGAATAAATGTATTTTTCGAATGAAATGGTGTGAAACACCGGAAGTATAGGCCTACTACACTGCGATTTTGTGTGATCTAGCCCATAAAGATGAGATAGATACCTTAGTTTTCTCAACCCGGTCCCCCTTCGTCAATGACGCATATTGAAGAGGCCTAGTATAGGGGCCATGGGTTCGAATCCTCCTCAGGGTAAGAAAAATTATGATGCTCGTGCCTGTGCTTCCGAGTGTTGGCTTAACCCTACCCACCCCAGCCTACCCTACCCTACTCAAAACCCAGTGGCAGAGCCAAATGGGAGGGGGAGCAGAGGCATATATTTCGGGCAAAATTATCATAACTTGGTTAGAAAAACCTTCGGATAAGACTGTAAAAGAAGCCCAATGTGCTACAGGCTGTACACGTTAAAAAAAATCCCTGGACAGTTGGAAATCTAAAACAAATATAGGTTAATGTCATCTCAAATTAAAATGGATGTAATCTTATACTCATCATGTAATAGGTCATGTTAATTAATTAAAATTATTGATTCACAAATATTAGCAGAACATTTGTGTCTTCGTCAAAATTTGGTACATGGATAGTACTTAAAAAAGCATTTATGGTTGATCTCTGCTGATGCATAGTCATTATGTATTCACAACAGTATATTAATGCTTCAGTTCAACTGACAAATGATGGACGGAGACTGACAAGAAAGTGGTTTTATGTACAGACTTCAACCCTATAAATCACTACAGTAAAACAATAGGCTAAGCTAAGTGTTTTAAGTCTCTATAAAAACCTGTTTTTCATAATATTTGTCGTCCTTACAGTTTTCTTATAGTGACAATTTACATCTAAAAATTGACAAAGTACTCAATTTGTCAACAATATTCACACGCCCTTACTTAACAGAATATAGGAACAAATATCGAAATACTGTCTATTATGGCATAGTGATAACTGCAGTCTTCCCAATTTACTTCTCGATTGGACAACAATCATACCCATAAAAATCACAGATTTCTTGTTGAATAGTTATAATTACTGGATCCAAGACCAAAGAGAGCAAGCTGGTAGGAAGAGGTAGAATCATGGTCCGACTGTTCAAACAGGATCGTACAAACAAGATTGCTGAAGGACAAAAGTAGGACGAAGGTAGAGAAATGGACCAAAAAATCATTTTTTAAAAGTGAAGTAACAAGATCAGCCAATGAAAGAACAGTAATCCAAACAAGATCGAAGTGTTGAAGTAGAGCAATGGTCCAAACAAGATCGTGCTGTTGAGGTAGAGCAATGGTACAGACTGTTCAAACAGGATCGTACAAACAAGATTGCTGAAGGACAAAAGTAGGACGAAGGTAGAGAAATGGACCAAAGGATCATTTTTTAAAAGTGAAGTAACAAGATCAGCCAGTGAAAGAACAGTAATCCAAACAAGATCGTACTGTTGAAGTAGAGCAATGGTCCAAACAAGACCATTCTTTGGAAATATAGCAATGGTCCATCAAGAACGTACTGTTGAAGTTGAGCAATGGACCAAACAAGATCGAACTGTTGAATTGGAGCAATGGACCAAACAAGATCGAACTGTTGAAGTAGAGCAATGGTCCAAACAAGATCTTACCGTTGAAGTAGAGCATTGGTCCAAACAAGATCGCACTGTTGAAGTGGAGCAATGGACCAAACCAAATCGTACTGTTGAATTGGAGCAATGGTACAGACAAGATCTAACTGTACAGACAAGTTCGAACTGTTGAAGTGAAGCAATGGTACAGACAAGATCGAACTGTTGAAGTGGAGCAATGGTACAGACAAGATCGAACTGTTGAAGTGGAGCAATGGACCAAACAAAATCGTACTGTTGAAGTAGAGCAATGGTACAGACAAGATCGAACTGTACAGACAAGATCGAACTGTTGAAGTGGATCAATGGACCAAACGAAATCGTACTGTTGAAGTAGAGCAATGGTACAGACAAGATCGAATTGTTGAAGTAGAGCAATGGACCAAAGAAGACCATCCTTATGAAATATAGCAATGGTCAAAACAAGACCATTCTTTGGAAATATAGCAATGGTCCTACCAAAATGGTACGATGGAAGTAGAGCAATAGATCAAACTAGATCGTTCCGTAGAAGTATGACAATGGCCCAAATACGACAGTGTCGAGAAGATGGAGCAACGATTAAATGGAGATCATGAAGTAAAGCAATGATGATAGAAGTAGCTCATTATGTAGAAGAACAAGCCAATAATGGTTGGAAAGCAATGAATGATTGATTTTCATTTTTGTGGTTAAAGGATCAAAATTGAATTGCACAAATCTGTGAATATTGAAGCTGGTGGTAAAATCCTAAAAAATATGTGGTAAAACGATAACCGATATCTTGACATGGCGGGGTGAAGGGACTTTACAGTTAATTAAGTTTTGGTAGTACAGATATATACAGATATGAATAGTGAAGATATGAAGATATATGACGAACATTGTATAATATTATAATGACGATGTAATTTCTACTGTTTAAATGATTGTATAACCATTTTCACACAGGCGTTTATTGTCCCTTAATGGACCATTATCATCATAATATCAAATATGCTGAGCATTGGAGTTTATCAGCTTTACTGATCGAACATTTAGGTGGCCGACTTTGCAGGTTTGAATTGAAAATTAAAAGCATTGTGAACCATGTAACAATAATTTTGAACTCAGAAGTTGACATATAAAAATTATCATTTTGAAATCTTACCATTAGAATTTTCACTCATGAAACAACGAGAAATAGTTACCAATGAATAGAAGGAAAGGACGCGTGTTCTCAAGGATTCTGTCTACTAGCTGGTCCGAGGACAAACCTCTTTGCATCAATCTCTACTAGATTATCCGTACGGATTTATAGCTGAGTGGACATAAATAACTATATTTTGACAGGCCCCCCAAAAAAATCTGATTTCCTTCTGAAGTGTTTTAGCTTGTGCTCCTTCCATCAAGATTTTCGAACTCCTCCACGAGCTTTAGGATCACAGAGATAGCTTTGGTGGTCCCATAAGGTCAATTTATTGGACTTTAAATATCACGCCCTGTATTGAGAACAAATCCCTATTTCAATATTGGGACAACGATAAATCATAGTGTCAGCTACTTTTTCGAAGATGGTATTTTAATGATATATCCAGTGCATCAGCCCGAAAAGATCAAAATATGGTTGACTCTTAAGTTCCCGAAGCCGTAGCTGTACATCTAGCGTCGGGTGGAAAATGCAGGACTGTGATCATGCAACGGCTCTATTGAGAATCTAACCTTGCATACGTGACTTGAAATTTCGTAATTTGCACGACCCCGGTTGCGAAAAGAAACCATGCGAACATATTTTGGGCATCTATTTAAACAATTACTCAACGGAGAATCATGTCTCTGGGCTCTGTGTTATTTCATGTAAGCTCTATATCACATTGGTCTCACCATCACACATCACTATGATCATTGTGGATCAAGGTAAAGCTGCCATGATTGGTAGAAGTGGACGTCATTTTTAAAGGGAATCTTGACCTACATAAAAACCACCGATAAAGTGACTTAAGATTTTATTTCAATATATACTACCAAGGCCATGCTATATGTTTGAACAAGAGTGGTTTAGCATTAAGTGTACTCATACGTCACATTATACTACACAGGTTAAACTAACAGTCGTAGCCTTGAAATCAGCTGTTAAAATATGTATCAAACACTTCAAGTGTTCAAATTGGGGTCATTGATCAAGCTATTTTTGAACACATCAAATTCGGTAAGAATGATAAGTGAATGGTACAACGTCAAAAGACCATAAAATGACGTCCGAATACATCACACAGATATACCCTATATGTGTTACAAATAGATTTTATCAATTGTCACAGCTATATTTGAACTTTTATTGTACCTGATTGACTTTATAGTCTTAAAGATCGTTGAAATTTTCCACGACATGTCTATCAAAATGCTGAGTAATCGCAATTAAATGTGTTAAGCGGTATAACATGACTTCGCCTTTCCGAAAACATTTCTGGAATTCATTGCATGTGATGTAACTAACTGGTGATTTCAGAACAATGGTATTTGAATCCCGAAGAACGTTGAAACCCTTACATTGTATCTGAATTTCGTAAGAAATGATATCTGAATTCAGAGCAATAGAAACTGGTATCTGAAATTTAAAGTGTCAGAACAATAAGAACTGGTATCTGATTTCAAGGTGTCAGAGCAATAGAAACTGGTATCTGATTGTCAGGGAGTCAGAGCAATAGAAACTGGTATCTGAAATTCAGAGTGTTAGAGCAATGGAAACTGGTATCTGAATGTCAGTACAACGGTATCTGAATGCGAGAGCAATAGAAACAGGTATCTGAATGTAAGTGCAACGGTATTTAAATGTCATAGCAACAGAAACAAGTATCTGAATGTAAGTACAACGGTATCTGAATGTCATTGCAACAGAAACAGGTATCTGAATGTAAATACTACGGTATCTGAATGTGAGAGCAATAGAAACGGGTATCTCAATGTAACTACAACGGTATCTGAATCTCAAAGCAATAGAAACAGGTATATGAATGTAAGTACAACGTAATCTGAATCTCAAAGCAATATAAAATGGTTTTTGAAGTTGAAATTGAAATTGAAGAGGCTGAAGCAGGTGGTATCTAAAACGGACAAATGTCGAACTTCTAGGGGCCTGAACTATATAGGTCAATGCATATCTCAAAACATATACCGGTATTTCCGATTACAGTCCACGTGTACCAAAATTTCACAATGGTCATCTATCTTGACCTGGTCACCGAATTCTACGCCCTCGATTTTACTATAAAGTTAACAGTTTGTGTACACAAGAATAATGAAATGACCATTGGTTTGTTGAAAAAATGATTATCAATGAAGCATGATCATATAACATTATTATATCAAAGGGAAACAGGACTCTTATTGTTCATAATTGTTTGCTGTAAGATTTAATTGCGGCTATTCATGAGGTCAGCTTGGTATGTTGAAAAGTTGCATCTGCTTGTTACTTAAAGTGACAGAATCGCCATTCGTTTGTTCAATCGTTCTTTGTCTCAGAAACATTATTTTTTTTTTAGCCAAGCTAAGCAGTAATAGTGTTCACAGCTGACCGCCGAAATTTGAGCCTTAAATTCCACATGTGTCCAGAATGATTGAGTTAGAAAGTTAAAATGACGACTCGCCTTTTTTGAGATACTGGCATATATAAGAAAATACATTATATAGAAAGAGAAAATTGTGGTTTGTGGTATTCTTGCAAAAATTTGGTATATTTCTAGTACATCTGAAGACTGTTAACATATTCAAGACCCAAATCACCCCCACCCTCCTCCGAAAATGGTGAATTTAAATATAACTTAAGTGAATATTATATTCTATTTCATTTATATAAGGGTTGAAATGATGTAGGAAGTATAACATCTTTCCTCGAAAAATCAAATACAAACCAATTTAGGTTTGAGTTCATTAGAGAAAATAGTTAATTGAAGTAAATTGGAGGAAATTTTAGGGTGAGAACGTTAAAAGTGTTCTGCCCCGCGGGCAGTTTTAATAGGTTTTCAATTGCGACATGCTTTTAATTGATGTGTTATTTGTACCTATACCAAATTAGGAACAGTAGTTTAAAAATGGAAAGTTCATTGCCCTATATATAATAAGTATTCATATATACTCGTCTTAATGTTATAGTCCGAAAGATAATAAGGGATAATAAGTGCAATTCAAATAATTTATATCTAGATGTTAAACATGGTTTTTACGTCATACTGGTCATTGATGATGTATGAGTGGTCAGTTGATTGACCACCTATCTATATTATAATTGAATGGTCAGATTAAGTACCTGTTAAACACAGCACGATTTTGAGGTTCAATATTGTCATTAGGGGCTTAGCGGTGGGAAATAAAAGGGGTAACGTAGGTAGCATGCTAATGTAGGTAATGACATAAAGGAAAATTATCCCCATTTCGACAATGAAGATCTTTTTGAACCACAAATGACACATCAATGGGATAATTCTACAGCTAGCTTCATCCTTTAATTTTGGTATTTTCTCGATTGCTTGTCAAAAAATATTTTTGGGTGACGGGGATCCCGTGCACACACAGTCTCTCTCTGTGGACGCGATAGTGATTATTGTAAACAATTGAATGCTCTTACAAATCAAAGGCTGAAATAATCTTTAACCAAACAACAATTTTTTTCTGTGAGCATCTTCACAATGAGAACTTCATCTTATACCTTGACTTCATAGCCATAACATGTATCACGGGATGCAGCAAACATTTACAATTACAAACTTCCGTGATACAAAAAAGGTGGATATAGCAGTCAAGGTATAAGACGGAAGTTCTTCATAGCCTAACATCGTAAAGGCGGTCTGTGGCTATTATGACAGGAAGATAGTCCAGAAATTTCAATTGACATTTGAAATACACTCAATTTTGTATTACTTTAAGAACATCGTATGAAATACTAGGGAATGAAAATATCATTGAAAAAATTGAATTTTTCTGACGAAACCAACAAATCTGATTGCTGCATGTGTCCATGCCCATCTCCTAAAAACTAAAACAGGAGCAAAAAACAACTGTTAACTAAAAAACAATATCGATTAATCGCACGATAAGATATATTGAACATGTTTCGTAAAAATCATGGTGACAATATATAGCTTAAACTTATAAGGTTTGATTGACCAATTCGACGAAAATAACTTTGGTTATAATATGATTGAAGTTACTATTTTAAATCATAATACGATCGAAAGCTCTGTGACTCAAATTGTGGGAATTTTATGCGAATAAGACCATTCGTTGTATACCGGATGACAAATCAAT